TAAAAGGAAAATTTTTTCGGAACAATTGAACCGAATAATGGACCTTCCAAATTTAAATATTGACTCATCCAAAAGTATCAATTATTTTATTGATACAATTAATGAGTCAATACATATAATTAAAAGTAAGGCTCAACTTTCAGAAGAAGTTGATAAAATCTTTGCACACATAATACTAAGAAAATTTAGTAAAGAGGCACTTCAATTATACGAAAGCCAAATAAAAAAGACAAAAGAAATACAATTACTGACTGACGTAATGGACTACTTAGATCAGCGACATTGTTCATTATCCACTTCAAATAAGGAGGAAAAGAAAATTCACTCTGGTTACAATTGTCCTATATGCAAAGTAGTAGGTCATAGTACCACGCAATGCACGAAATTTAAGGCAATGGTCCCAAGAGAAAGATTGGATGCTGCAAGAAAGATACAGTTATGTTTGAGGTGTTTAAGACACACGAATACTAATAGGTGTACAAGTAGCATGAATTGTTACTTTTGTAAGAAGCCTCATCATACAATGTTACATAGAAATACAGAAAAAGTTAATACAGTAGTAACAAATGAAGAGGCCTTATTAGCCACAGCGATAATTAAAGTTAAAGCAATAAAGGGGAATTATATCAACTTAAGAGCCTTAATAGATAGTGGATCTCAAAAAACAATTATATCTGAGGAGGCCGCACAGTTGCTAAATTTACCCAGAATCAGAAATGAGACAGAAATAAGTGGTGTCTCATCAGAAAATACTTGTAGGTCGAAACACAAAGTTAAGCTAATAATAAAACCTAGAGAACCAAATAAAGAACAGTTTAGGGTTGAGGCCATCATATTATCAAAGTTAATGAAAGCTCTCCCAGTTAGTAAAGCAAATATAGACATGGCTCAATGGCACAATTTCACTTTAGCTGATCCACAATTTTATAAACCAGGTCGTGTAGACATAATAATAGGTGCAGACTTATATCCACACGTACTAAAAGATGGGATAGTAAAGATAGATGGATTACGTGGGCAAAAAATGTATAAAGGGTACATAGCATTATTTGTGTGCATGGCAACAAAAGCTATACACTTAGAAGCAGTTAGTGACTTAACGTCAGATGCATTTTTAGCGGCAATGAGAAGATTTATTGCAAGGAGAGGAAAATGCTTAAACATATATTCTGATAACGGTACAAATTTTGTAGGAGCAGCTAAAAAACTAGAAAAAGAATTTAAGAAAACAATTCAAGAAAATACAAAAATTTCTTCAACGTTAGAAAAAGAACAAATAAAGTGGCATTTTATCCCGGCGGCAAGCCCTCACTTTGGAGGAATCTGGGAAGCGGGAGTAAAATCAGTAAAATATCATTTAAAAAGAGTAATAGGAGATAGCAATTTAACCTTTGAAGAAATGACGACACTATTATGTCAAATTGAAGCAGTCTTAAACTCCAGACCTCTATACACTACAGGGGATGATATCGATAATATCGAAGTACTAACTCCAGGACATTTTTTAATAGGTAGACCCACAGTAAGTGAAGTGGAGTCAACAGGAGAAGAAAAAATAGGAAACCTAGATAGATGGAAACTGATCCAAAAAATGAGGAGAGATTTTTGGAATAAGTGGAAAAATGACTATTTATATACCCTTCAGCAAAGAAATAAATGGAAAAAAGAGATGCCAAATTTAGAAGAAGGGCAAATAGTATTAATAAAGGATGAAAATTGTCACCCTGCTAGATGGCCACTAGGGATAATAAAAGAAGTTCACAAAGGCCAAGACAATAAAGTTAGAGTCGTAAAAGTTAAATCTCAAGAAGGGTTAGTTACACGACCAATCAATAAAGTATGTCAGCTAGGTGAATTAAAAAATGAAGACTCAGACCTAAGAAGCACAAGACAATCTAGCAGAGGGAAAGGAGGATCAAGACTAAAAGTACTAATGGCAATGCTAGTCTTAGCTCTCTTCTGTCAGGTATCAAGTGCAGAAGTAACGAAAAGCGATAAGATAACAATTTCAAAATTAGGTAACAACTCAGCAATCTATTTAGATCCAATGGGTGAAGTAGAAATAGTAACCTCATCATGGGATCTAATTATTTACTATAACCTAGATTCATATTTTGACATGTTAAAGAAAGGGAGTGAATTAGAAGGGAAAATGAGAGCAGTGTGTACGAAACTACAGAGTTTCGAGGACCAATGTAATATAATACTAAATAATACAAAAAGACGAATAGCAGAATTAGAAGATAATAACAAACTATTTATACTACAAAATAAACCAAGAACCAAACGTGCACCTTTCGAATTCATGGGCTCATTATATCACTTGCTATTTGGGATAATGGATGCAGACGATCGAGAACAAATGGAAGAAAACATGGTCAGTTTATTAGACAACCAACATAACATAAAAAAATTGAGTGAGAAACAGACATCAATAATAGATTCCACAGCAAATATACTCAAAAGAACCACTGAGGAAATCAATATTCATTTCAATGACATGAATATACGTATAGACAATATGACAGAATTGCTAAAAGAATCGTATTATGTGTATAAGGAAGCAATTAATTTCTTTATGATAACAAATCAATTAAATGCCTTAATTGAAGAATGTGACAAGATTCAAACAGGGGTAATAAATATGCTAATTGATATAAATCATAGCAGATTAAGCCCGGTTATATTGAAGCCTTACCAATTTGGGGAAGAAATAGCCAAGATAAAAGAAAGTTTGTCCGAGAATTTAGTCTTACCAGGGAAAAGGACAGGTACAGAACTAAAAGAAATATATCAATTACTTACAACGAAAGGAACCTTTATAGACAACAAAATAATAGTTAACGCCAAGATTCCGCTATTCAGCAGATACCCATCTCATTTATATAAGGTTATCCCAATACCAGTCTACAATGACGACCAAATGATAATGGTACACCAAAGAACAGAATATTTAGTGTATAACTTCGAAATTGATTCTTACCACTTAATGGCCGAAGCCACATTAAATAAATGCAAAAAATGGCAACCAAACAAGCTCATATGTGAAGGTAACTGGCCCTGGGATAATGCCAACGATAACAGCTGCGAAATATCACCATTCAAGCCAAACCGACCGGCGAACTGTATCTATCAAACATTAGTTCATTCAAAAACATACTGGGTTGAATTGGAAGGTAAAAGTAGGTGGTTATTTAAAGTACCGATTAATGAAAAGCTAAGCGTACGATGCAAGGGAGCACAGCAAGAACTAATAGAATTACCAGAACAGGGTGTGTTGAAAATGAAATCAGATTGCACAGCTCGATCAGGAGATAAGACCATAATAGCTCATAATAATGATATTCACACTGAAAAATACGAGAAAATCGCACCCTCATACGTAGGAAAGATTGTTGACGTTCCAAAAATAGTTTGGAACCCATTAGCACTATCAAGAATAAATCATACGAAAGAAATTGAGCATTTACAAATAGCAATACAGCAAATGAAGGAGAGCCATATAGAATTAAAAGGGCTCCATTTTCATCACATATCAGGTCATGCTTCTATGTTAATAAGTATTTTGATTGCATTAATATTAATCATATATACAATAAGAAAATGTAATGTAAAGAGGCGATTAAAAGCTATAACATTTCCTGGTCCCATATAATTTGAAATATAAAAAATATACAGAAAAATACTCGATAACCTGCGCGTTATCCGACAAAAAAAAATTTATTCGATAACCTGCGCGTTATCAAACTAATATTAAAATGAAAACAAAAAAGCAAATATATTTTTGGCCCCTCTGGCAGAATGTTTGAAAACATGCGAATACTGGATGACCTGCGAGTCATCGAACAAAAAATAAAAATTTTTACAACCACAACATTTTTGGGCCCCTGGCAGAATGTTCAAACATGAACATACATAATAATAAAAATAGAGACAGTACTCGAATAACCTGCGCGTTATCCGACACAAAGTAATAAATATGTCATCCCTTAGTTGCAGCGACCAATGCAGCGTCTAATATATGTAAATGTAACGTGAGCCTGGGCCCAAAGATTCAAAAAAAAGGGACACTTAAGTAAACATCTGGGCACTTGTTTGTGTGAGAAAATGCACCCTTCCAGTGACTGGAAGTAGTTTTAAGAGTCTCTGTTAGGTATATAAGAACTAGGATTTTAAGCAATAAAGAGTTCAGTTAAGATCTTGAATTCGGCAAATGTGGAGTGTTTTTCATTTTAACGCTCTAACACTTGTTCTACAGTGCACCTAATGAACCTAATAGTGACCAAGCAGTGTTGCAAAACGCAGTGATAAACAATGGCATTCAATTGTGGTGACAAATGTGATAGGAAGTGGTTTTATAACAATCTTATTGAATGTTTAATTATATTATTATTATTATTATTATTATTAATGTGTTTTTTTTTTTTCGAAATTATTTAGTACTTTACTTTACTTTATTTATTTATTTTTGTGACACATTTAAAAAAAAACAAACAACTTACATAAAAATCTTTGTAAAACAAATAATAAATGTCATCATCAAGATTGTTGTTGTTGCTGCTGTTGTTGTTGTTGTTGTTGATGATGCTGCTGTGCTGCAGTTGTTGATGCGTGCTGCTGCTGTTGTTGTTGTTATTATTATTACTATTAATGTTGTTGTTGTTGTTATTATTATTATTATTGTTATTGTTATAGCTGTAGCAATTGTTGTTGTTGTTGCTGTAGCTGCTATAGTTGTTGCAACTGTTGCTGTTGCTGCTTAATTGTTGCAGTTGTTGCTGTTGTTGTTGCTGCTGCAAGTGCAACACTGGCTGTTGTTGCAGTTGTTGCTGTTGCGCGACAGTCGCAAATGTTAGCTGTTGTGGTGGTTGTTGTTGTTGTTGTTGCTGCTGCTGCTGCTGCTGCTGTTGCTGCTGCTGTTGCAATTGATGATGATGCTGCTGCGGTTGCTGATGATGAAGCGATGGCTGATGCTGATGCTGATGCTGGTAATGTTGTTGATAGCTTTGCGCTTGCAATTGCCAATTTTGCATTGCACATGTATATTATATATACATACATAGGCGTCTGTATTTCTTTGTGCATGCGTATGTATTTCTGTGCGCTATATATGTATATTCGTATGCAACTGGATGTGTGTGCATATACATATAAATACATATACATATGGAGATTATTATTGGGGAAGAACAATTTCTTTGCGCCAACAATTAGTTGAGTGAGACACTGCACAGTAAAAAAAAATTCGTATTCATTAATATTTTAATTTCGCTTTAATTTTGAATTTATTTTTTATATTTTTTGATTTTTATTTTGTAAATAGAAAAAAAAAAAACACACACACAGACACAAGCGCACGCACGAACTTTAACGTAAACAATAAATAAATTACACTTTTTTCTCTTTTTTTTTTTTGTTCTAGTTTTATTACACACACGTTCGCACTCACTCACACTCGCTCGCGCTCTCCGTCGCTCTGCCCCACTCTCTCGTTCGCTCACTCTCTTTCTCTCTTGAAAATTTTTCGCAATATTTGTTTTGCACGCACTTTTTTGTTGCTGTTGTTGTTGTTGTTGCCTTTTCTGTTATATTAATTTCAAGTACTGCCTTTGTTTTTCACTCACTTTGTTTTTTATATAGTATTTTTTTTATTATTATTTTTATTTTTATTATTCTTTTTATGCAGTGAATTTTTTATTTTGAAGCTTGGTTTGCTTAGACTTGAAATGAGCTCAAGGTAAAAATGTTGTATCAACGACCGAAACGCGACGATGTTAACGGCGACAACAACGATGTTAACGGCGATGACGATGGCCACAGCGACAGCGACGGCAACGGCGACGCTACCGATAACTGCGACGTTAACTGCGACGCTGAGCAGCTGCAGCTGATGGACTCTGTTATAATTTGTTGATCTCTCGCACTCGCACACACACGCAACTGACGCACGCAGGCACTCACTGACACACACACACACTCACACGCACGCACGCACATATGTATTTGTGCATGCAGAAAGAAGGCTGCAAGTCCCATTGGGCTGTGTTAGCGCGCCCTTAAATTACTCTTTGATATTCAACTTTTTGACACGCTCGCACACACAGAAAAAAAAAACGACAAAAATCATTGCCTAGGCACACTGCAAAAATAAATTGCTATTGAATAAAATAAAGTGAAAAAAAAAAAAAATAGAACAGTAAACAAAAGAATGCATACACATCTACATACATACATACGTACATATGTATATATGTATAGGCATGCATTTATATATGTATAGGCGCATACATTTATAGCTGTATTACAATTAAATTGCCGCAAACAAAAATCGCGCGTTGTTGTTATTGTGTTTGTTATTTTGACTGAATTCAAGCAGCCGACGACGAATGTGTCGCCTCGCAACTGTCGATGACGACGCCACGACGACGTCGACAATAGCAGCAGCCGTAGCAGCTGGCGGCAAGCATGCATGCACACACACAACACACACACACATACGCACGCAGCGTGCAGGCGTTTCGAGAGAGTGCGAGAGAAGCGACGCAAGAGAGCACACAGGGCGCTTGTTGTTGCTGTTGTTATTGCCGGTGTATGTTTAATGCTGCTATTCTGCCAGCGTGTTTTTGCCACAGCTCTTTCCCCGTCCCCTCTGACTTTACACTTGCTTTTGCTTTAGCTGTTGTATTTGATTTTGATTTTGTTTCTGATTTTGCGGCTATTATACATCGCATTGTCATTGTCTCAATTTGACCCTGTATATGCAATACTTAAATACATACATATATATACGTGCACACGCACTCAAACACTCACACACAGACAGACACTGGCACATGAGAGCACTGAGTGGTACAACACTAACAACGCAATAACAAAAATAGTCTAACTGTTCTTATTGTCGTTGAGAAAGCGGAAATAAGCAAAGCACAAATTGCAACTAGCCATACGCCAGCCCGAGGCATTCGAGCGCACAGTGGGGCGTTATATGGAATTTTTATAGACAAACAATGATAACACACAGACACAAGTATATACATATGTATGTATGTATCTATGTATGTTAGATATTTGAGTGAAATTTGAATAAAGAAGAATTTTAAACTATTTCAATCTAGCTTTAGCTCTGTAAAAATTTTGTGGGAATTTCTTATCATATATTTAGTTTGATTATTATTATATTTTTGTTTAGTTCGACTTTTGTAATTTCAATTTGATCAGTTTTGATGTACTATTTAATATAGTGTTATAGAGGTATAGTTATAGGTGTATATAAAATATCAAATATGTACTATATAGTCTGCATATCGGACTACTATGCCTTCAATATTTGTTATATTTAGAGTATATTATATAGTATGTACATCGCACTAATATACCATATATATTGCTATATTTATCATATATGTGTATTATATATAAGACTCTAATGTATATATTAAGAGGAAAGCATTAACACTTGTACAGTTATTTCTTTAGATGGCACCGCCATAGAGCTTTGCTCCGAAATATCTACAAAATCTGATTCGTAACTTCTATTGGTTCTATTTGTCGCACAGGTATATACATACATGCATATGTATGTGTGTATGTGTGTATGTGCTTGTATTTGGGTAAGTATAATGTATAATGAATTGTTTAACTGTTGCCATGAACAGCAGCAACAACAACAAATTGTAGCTAAACTTTGGACAGATGAAGCTCCAATAGCTGTATATATGTATATGTAGGTATGTAAACACATACATACATAATATTTATATATGTATGCCTGTTTATACATGTGCAGTGTGTGTCGTCAGTGCTTTTGCCGTATCTGTAGGCACAACAACAAAACAAAAGCACTTGGCATGCTCGCCTTTAGTACATAATGTATCTGTATCTAAGCAAGCGAGAGCTCTGGGCCAGGCAGCCAAGGCAGGCAGTCCCGACCAGGCCAAGCTAAAAAGTAAATGCTTCTCTTTTGTTGTTGTTGTTGTGTGTTTTTTTTTTTTTTTTTTTTTTTTAACCGGTTGAAGTCATATTTGCCACCGTGGAAGCAGTAGAAGTAGTAACAGACGAAGAATATGAAGCAGTAGAAGACCAAGAAGAGGCAACAACACTCGCTTGTCCGCTGTGGACGCCAGAGATATTGAGAGATTGAGACATTGAGACATTGACTTCCAATGGCAAATACGCAAAATACGCTTCTTTAGCTGCTATTTCTGCTATTCTCTTAACTAAGCCATAAGCTATACGAAATAAGAGACATATGCACAGATGGGGACAGAGAGCGCAGACCACTTGAAAGTATCTAAAAGTTTCAGTAAACTCGAGATACAAAAAACTCATGATTTTTAGTGTTTAACCAAGAAGACTATGGGAAACAATACCATTATATACACATATGTATCTACATAATTGAGTTGAATATTCATTAAAAAAAAAAACTCTTTTTATCGTTGTCATATATCGATAAATATCTTATAATAACGGTAGTATTTCACTGTCATACAAAATCTTTACAAACATATAAAAGAGCTAACAATCATTCAACGCTCACGACAATCTATTGATATAAATGTATAAACATACATTATAACAGATGCAATTGTTTCCAAGCTAATCGATAACGATACATGATTCATAAAGGCAAATCGACAGCTTTAGGCTTTCAATATGGCCTTTGCTTAAAAATAAAATCGAAATATCGATCAACTAACGATAGACATGCTAAATCAATGCGAATCGATATCTTTGTATGTAATATACTATATAAAAAATAACGATATTCAGCTAATATTGACACGATATTTTGAACTAATATATCATCTCATATGACGCTAAAGGAAAAATCGATCTTCAATTATCTATAAGCTATCGATATAATATTAATACTTATGTCACACATACAAAAGCTTAGCTTTACCTTTACCAAATTGATCAACAATTACCGCTAGGCTTTCGATACATATGCAACATCAATCATCGATTGCACACAGATGAGTGTCTCTGGCGCCAATCGATATCGATAGTCAATGCGATTGCTTTGACGCTAATCTATTGAAGCTTGTTATCTAAATACATTAATTGATTCGACTTTTAGCTCGAGATACTTATGTATATATATATATATAGGCGTGTACATACAAGATACGTATATATGTATGTATATACATATTGTTTATATATTGTACAATGTCATATAGGTCTGTCTATCTTTGCCTTCCATGCCGCTCTTTTGCTTACAAACTCTAGTTCTAACAATCCCCCCTCGCTCTTCCTCACACTCACTCACTCTTTCTCTCTCTCTCTCTCTCTCTCTCTATGTATCTCTTTCTTTCTAGCTTCAATAAGCAGCGGAAAAAATAACACACACACACATACAAAGCGAAAAAAAATTATGTATACACACGCCAATCGGTTTATATCTGAGATAATATGTAGCTACATATATATGAGTGTCTGTATCTATGTGTGTGTGTGTGTGTGTGTGAAAGGCAACAACGGGGCCAAGCAAAGCGACAAACATTGGGTAGGACGACGACTGGTCGATTAAACCGAGAGCCTGAACTGCCTGAACTGCCTTCACTTGTGCAAGGGACGTCGCGCCACAGGACTGTGGCTGCAAGGGGGGGTGGAGTGAGGGGGGGGGTAGGTTGGCGAGGGCTGTTACCTCATGCCACTCCCCACTCTGCCCCTATTCACTTTGTGCCAACCTCGCGCACACAAAACGGCTCTTTGATAATTTCTCGCTCATTTTCTGACTCGTCGTGAGTGCAGAAGCATCTTCTTCTTCTTCTTCTTCTTCTGCTGCTGCTGCTGCTTCTTGTTCTTCGCCCAGTGCCCACCTGCCCCCCTGAGCCCCTATGCTTTCAGCTCAGCCCACCCATATATAGTACCTCTGTCTGTGTGTGTGTATCTGTTAAATCTCGTATTAATTCTAATAAGAGAGAAAAGTATCTGCATTGATGCTGATGCTGATGCTGATGCTGATGCTGCTGACATCTTTCATAGGCACAGTGAGCAACGAGATGACTCCGCACCGTGTTACAACATGAGACACTCTCTAGATGAGACACCAACTGAAGTCCAATTGAAATCCAGCTAAACTCCAATTTGACAAATGGGTCGCATAAAAGCGTTTAACTTGATTCCAATTAGATTCCAATTAGAATTAGTCAACAAACTGAAATGTGCCTTAATTTTTTTATTTTTTGGTCTCACACTTAGTCAGCGACTACTGTAGTTGCAGCTCCGTTAGTTGATACTACATTTGGCTGATATTTTGGCCACATTCCATATGAATTGATATGGGCCAGGTATGCGGGCGTATACTATGTATCCATCAGATACATAGCAGATACGATATGGTACGGCACGGTACGATACGATATCAACAAATTCTTAACGGCAAGGCAACAAGCACCGTTATCTCAATTGCGGTTTTATGCAAGAAGCAAACAAATACGTGATTTGTGGTACATCAAAGACTGAAAAGTAGATATGCCTAAAATACGTACATATACATATATATATGTATATTATAGGTATATGAATATATATATATGTATATACATTAACACACATACATATATACACTCACCCATACATACAATTTTGCAAATGTTTCTCAAGTTTGCTAAGTACATAATAACATCTACTATATACATTAATATATATATATATTATAATATATGCTCATACATACACACATATATAGAGCCAAATAAGAGCATAAAGAATAAGCGACAAGACACACAACAAAAAGAAATAAACTCAACATAAAGCAGAGCCCAAAAAAGAGCAAAGCTTGTAAAACACAAAATACTCGAGCGTATTTAATGAGATTTTTGTGTAATACCCTAGCTAATATGCTAGAATGGGTATGCACAATTAATGCCCATGGGCATTTTCCGAAGTAATTGCAAAACAATATTACGAATCTATGCCACAAGATACCCTGTATGAATGCAACTCTTTATAAATTATAGATACGCATATACAATATATTATATAATATATAGAGCCTTATTTTCAACAACTTTAATAAGTTGTTTAAGAAAACAATCTCATTAAATTACATTTCATATTCAATTATATACATGCATGACGAGTTTTGGACCAATCAAGGCTTATGTATATATTTTGATACCCTGTAAAAATGTATGTAACGAGCAGAGGGAGGCGAGGCAGACCCCGTAAGAGAAGGTTAGTATGATTGGAATATCGCTTTTTTACAAGTTTGGGCTTTTGGCACAATTCCTACAATAGGAATAAGATATCTTAACGCAAGTACCCTAAAATATAACAAAGCAAACTTATAAAGAACTTAAGTTTGAAACTAATACTGAATTCCATCTTTTTTATATATATATATAAATTCCTATGAATATTGGCATATGTTTTAGGCGCTAGGGAAGGAGAATTCTACAAACTAAATACATCATGAGATACGTATATGTAGGCATATACATACATACATATAAACAAACATATGAACATATATTTAAAAAATCAAGCAATACAATTTTATTTCCATATGACATTTCTGGCTCAAAAATTGAGATAATGAGAAATGTTTCTTTTGAAACGACGTGTTTTCTTAATGACTTTCTTGTAATTATCTAAAGCTCAATCATCTAAACATGATGAAAATCACAATCTTCAGATTGTGAATATATATATTAAGTAAATATATACTACATTATTTTAAGCAACAACTAATTTATCAACTGCCTGTTGATTATACCATACTTTTAGTACGCTACAGGGTATTATAGACAGCGGCAATTAATTGAAGCTCAACCATGAACAATTTAATAGATCATGTTGAGCAGTGTAAAGAGAGAACACCCTGTATTAGCAAATGCCTGAATATCTATGGGTTGACTTTTGGAATCATCAGTGAAAACATTTTAGTGCTTGTTAATTAAAATCAAAAATGTTTGCTTTATTCACAAATACATATGTATGTATGTATATGTATGTGTGTACGTATGCCACTTTGTACATATGTATGTGAGTAAATATATACACAAGTTTGGCCTAGCACACACAAACACACACACCCACACCTATGTACACGCACATTTAATAAAGTGAAACAGCAACAACAACAGATTTTTTTTTTTTTTTTTTGCAATTGGGATTCAGAAGCATCAAACAAAAATTTGGCCCACATTTTTGCGCATCCATTTTGCTCAGTTGTTCTGCACAAATGTTCTTTCCAGTTAGAGTTGGTGGGTTTTTACATACATATGTTTATATACACCACACAGACAAAAACACACCACACACCACATACCCCACTCTGCCGCCCTACCTATCACTCTACACCTTATATCCCTTGCCAAACGTCACTGTGTGGCAATATATTTTTTTTCTTTCCTCATTGCCTTTTGCTTTGTTTTGTTCAGTTCAGTTCAATTTTCGTTCTCGCTCTCGCTCTGGCTCTTGCTCGTGCTCTGGCTCTGGCTCTGGCTCTTGCTCTCACTTTGCCCGTTCGCGCTTTGAGCTGCTGCTGCCTCTCGACAGAGCGCTTATTGTGTATATATATATATATAAATGTGTGTGTGTGTGTGTGTGTGCTTTCCGCACCTCATCATTTGCTCTCGCCGCACATTGCTCTCTGTCTTGCTCGTTCTCTGCATTTTGGCACTGGCAGTTCGAGTCGTTCAAATTGTTTAAAGTTTAAACAAAATGCATTGCACAGGAAAAAAAAACACACACACATACATATAAGAAGAGTATGCACCCACACACACACACACGCTCACTCCTACTGCATGCACTATCTCTCTATATTTTTATACTCTCGCACTCAGCGTTGATTCTATTGTGCTTGCTCTCTGTAACGGCACAATACACAAATATTAAAGGAGAAAAAAAAAGCACACACAACAACAACAACAACGACGACATTTTGTGAGCAGAATTAACGCGGATAACAAAACTAAAAACAACGAAAAAATTGGTTTTTCGTTACCGTTTTGATTTTGATGGCGTTTGAATTGCGACTGAAACTGAATGATGCTGTTGCTGCCTCTAGCTCAGCTGCGGCCTGTGCTGGCTGCTGCTGCTGTTGCTGCTGCTACTGCTGCTGCTGCGGCGGCTGCGGCTGCCTGACGTCGCTTTGCATTCAGCAACGACGGCGACGTCAGCAAACGCAGCGGGCAGCAAAGAAAACGGCAAACGCCAACAGCAACAGCAACAGCAACTGGACTGGGCGTGGGCAGGGTACACAAACAGCAGGCTGCGTGGCACCTCCTAGATGAGCGGGTACAGTGGGGCAAACACTGAGTTTGAGTTAGGCAGGGCGTCTCTCTCGCCTAGCCGCATTTTCAATTTAAACGCGTGCACACACACACACACACACACACACACAAACACAGAGAGACACACGCATACCCTTCACACACACACACATACACACGGGTGCACGCAGCAGCAGCGACGTCAGCGTCGACAGCGCTTTTGCCAACATAGCTAAGAGTTCCCAATGCGTAGACGTCGACGCGCAGATTTTTTATTTTACGTTGTAGGTCCAAGCCAGCCAGTCAGCCAACAACTACACTACTGAACACAGCCTACCCTGCCCACACCCCTGCCCACTCCCCTCCACCATCACATGCCCGCCTGCCAAAGCCCCCACCATCACTCCCTCTCTCACTCTCACATACAATACGCTATCCAAGCAACCAATACACCATCCATCCATAGCATGTTGCAGGCAGCAGCAGCAGGCAGCAGGCAGCAGCAGCAGGCAGGCAGGTCGCAACTCAATCGCACAGCGCGTCGCGGCGTCATCGTGGTTAGAACTCGTGTACCGAGCCGCACCTTGCCCCGCCACGCCCCTCCCGTATCCTACTCAACCCTCACCAACAATCACTCGTTATACACACTACTCCTAAAATATATATATATGTACACACACACGCACACACACACACCTTGATGGGGAAGGTGGCAACAATTGCGTTGCAACGTCGCCAACCAAAACTATTCGAAGCACCAATTTCGTGGCGCATCTTCGCTTGGCATTTACCTAACTATGCGAGCCCCAATTGCACTTTGCCAACTATCCAAATTAATCGACAAGAAGTACCGTTAGCCTAGACACAAGTACTTCAAGGGCGAAGTAGTCGAAGTCGAAGAAGTAGAAGTAGAAGTAGAAGTGGAAGTAGAAGTAGAAGTAGAAGTAGAAGTAGAAGTAGAAGTAGAAGTAGAAGTAGAAGTAGAAGTAGAAGTAGAAGTAGAAGTAGAAGTAGAAGTAGAAGTAGAAGTAGAAGTAGAAGTGAAGTAGGAAGTAGAAGTAGAAGTAGAAGTAGAAGTAGAAGTAGAAGTAGAAGTAGAAGTGAAGCAGAAGTAGAAGTGAAGTAGAAGTAGAAGTGAAGCAGAAGCAGTGAGTGAGTAGAAGTGAAGAAGTGGAGAAGAGTGAAGTAGAAGTAGTGAAGTGAAGTGAAGTGGGGAAGTGGAAGTGAGAAGTAGAAGAGAAGTGGGGTGAGAAGTGGGAGAAGTAGAAGTAGAAGTAGAAGTAGAAGTAGAAGTAGAAGTAGAAGTAGAAGTAGAAGTAGAAGTAGAAGTAGAAGTAGAAGTAGAATATATGGATATATATAAGTAGTATAAGAGTAGGTTTATTAAATATGTATTAGGAAAATTCTTATTATCCCACAGGTTGTTCCTGAATTCCTAAGACTGACTGAACGGGAGTTTAAATTAAGTTCAAATTCATATATCAAGTAGTATATTAGGATGTTAGGATGATACCACGTTCGCCTCTAAGACTTTTATATAGCTTATAACATCATTTAAATTACACCACTTTAAATATTTACTCAGAAATATCTGCTAAATATACTAGCTAGATTAATCCATATCTTTGTGTAAAGTGTTATAAATCGATATAAATGGATAAAATATATAATTTTAAAGATATCATCTATTCTCAAGGGATTCATCTAAGCATTTTTTATATTTTTCAACTTCCAAATTCCAGCACTACAATTTCTATGAGGCTTCCATTTCAATCTGCTTAAGGTCGTCAAGAACAAATGAATTCCGACTGCGAATAACGGATTCTTTTCGCAATTCTCTTGCTTGAATTGTATTCTAAATTCAGTTTTTTTTTTCCATTTCGCAACGGTAAAAGTACCGTTTCATTTGGTTTGTGTGTTATGTAGTGCAGCACTATTATTTACATGAACTGAAGAGTATATCAAAAATATTTATCGATTAGATTAGATAGATTAAGAATAATATTACAAATTGCGCTAACAATACATACATATATGTATGTATATACACTTCAATATTCCCACAATTTACGAAAATATTCATCATGAAAATATTGATCAGTTAATAAATGAAGAAAATTATTACGATTATATAATCCCACTAATATCTCATCAGTTGCAGCTATACATAACCATATGCAGTATATACAATATATACCACTAAAATCTATTTTACGTATGTATATATAAAATATATCCCACTAAAATCTATTTATGAAAATATTAATCATCAATTCATCAAAAATATTAAAAATTACTCAAAGATATGTAATACACAGATATATATATGTCGGAGATGATAGTATTATTCGAATAGAATATCTTATCGATATATCGGCTCATGCATAGTATTGGGTAATATTGATTGAGTGCGATGTTAGTTAACACTAATATCGAGTGTGGTCCCGACGAGGTTGCCAGTTGGTTACGATGGATGTAATCGAACGTGCTAGTGAAAATCGGACAGTTGATTAGCATGAGGAAGAAGGGCAACAGTGCAGGAACACGCTGCACTCCATAAAATTATCTAATCTGCATAAATATCCGACATATACTTCTGTAGTCCTACCAAAATCGATTTCAACTATATATAATACATCGATATATACTTTAGTACTTTCACTAAAGTCGATCAAGCCTAAAATCGTATATACATATATTACCATTTCAGCTATCATTTCTACACATATTATCATTTCAGTTGCAGCTATAAGAAGCGGTTTCTTAGACTCTTAACTTTCGACCTCTTTAACTAGTTGTGAATTATAAATATCTTCGGCTAGTTTAGCTTTCTATTCATATTCGTTTACTTCAATTGGAGCTTTAACTTCCTTATACCTATGCTATATCCTAACTACATATCGTCCTCCACTCTGTCCGAGTCTTAATGCGCCCACTTAGCTGGCTTTAAGCCGTAGAGTAATGTCGATACAACAATATGAGGCACATTCCTGTTGCAAGCACAAAAGTTTTCCTTAATTGTTGTTGCAACTGCTGCTGCTGCAGCTGCCTGTTGGCTGTTGGCTGTGCTTTGTTTTAAGCCAACTGCCTCTAACGTTGACGCTGCTCGTCGATGATGAAGTGGTCGATGTCGATGTCGACGTCGTCGTCGTCGTCGCTGTTGTTGCTCGGCACTGCGCGGTCGACTCGTGTGCGCCGCGCATTATTGCCGCACGCATATACAACAGCCACCAGCAGCAGCAGCAGCAGCAGAGCAGTCGCAGCAACAGCAGCAGCAGCAACAGCAGGAGCTACAAATCATGTCCACGGCGAAGATGCTGCTGCTGCTGCCTCTGCTGCCTCTGCGGCGGCTGCTGCTGCTGCGGCTGAGTCTGCGTCTGTTTTGGCCAGCAACAAGCGCGCACTCTAAGTGTAGCAAAATGGACTCCAAAACTGTACAGCACTCACACGCACACACACACACACACACACACAAAATGGCATGCAAGTACAAGTACGCACACGCATTCACACAGAAATAGCAAAGCATTACGATAACTTGATATGCCTGAAGAACATTAATGATGATGATGAAGATGACAAATTAATGATGATGATGAAGATGACAAATCACTGAATGATGATAAATTACTAATGATGATAATGAAGATGACAAGTCAATGTTGATGATGATGAAGATGACAAATCAATGATAATGATGACAAATTAATGATGATGATGATGATGATGATGATGATGTCAGATAAATGATGATGATGATGACAAATCAATGATGATGATGATAAAGATGATAAATCAATGAAGATGATGAAGATTACTAATGATGATGAAGCTGACATATCAATGATGATAATGATGATGACAAACCAATGATGATGATAAATCAATGATGATGATGAAGATGACAAACCTATGATGATGATGATGACAAATCAATGATGATGATGATGATGATGAACATTGCAAATCAAGGATGATAATGATAACAATTCATTGATGATGATGATAATAATGAGTTTGCTGTTGCTGCTGCTGATACTGATGATATTGATGCTATTGATAAGGTTGATGATGCGGACTATCAACAGCATCTCATGATAATTATGATTATAATGAAAATAATAATAATGACATGACGAAGGGCTAAATAGCCAGGGCTAAACGATGATGATTATTATAATGTATATATAATTGTGATGATATATATGTATATGTATATATTTTTTGGGCTGAAGTGGGTAAAAATGTTGTATGCATAGGTCGGATCATCTTACTAAAAACTTTCTCTTCTAGTACTAAAATCCGCCTTGGAACCAGGCACTCTCCCGCATTAACCTTCAAGGTGGTTCCACGGTATATTATCTAACAGATTATAGCCCCCAATTCTGCGGCGCATTTGCTGTAGTTTCAATGCCTCTACTTTCACAGTTCCTGCCATGAAAATGGTATTACCAAATGAAATTGAACTTTTCCCATAACAAAATGAAAATAGAAATAGAGAAATTCTCGTAAGACTCGATCCGAGAGTTCATTTTGAGTTTTGACGATGATTTGAGAGAGATGCATTGCAAATCGGGCTTGAAAGTCATAGAAATAGGAGTGATGGGAATAAAAACTTGAACTATAACATAATAGTAAACATAGAATAAATCTATTTTTCTGTGTATATTAGGATCAAATATAAAATTTTACAATATTTGCCAATGGGCGGGGGCAGCAAGGAAGGTCTAGCTAGGTTCCTCTTAGCTGTTGGCAGGCCGTATATGTGTGGCCAAAAAGGGTTAATACAAACACGTTTACACACATACAATCATACACACACAGAGACACACGCATACATATACATATACATACATATTTATATAAGCACACATATATAACACGCTGTCCCAGGAGAGAAAAACAGAGTGGGAGCAAAAGCACGACAGAGACAGAGCATGCGAAAAAGAAAGGGAGAGACAGAGAGACAGAGAGAGAGAGAGAGAGAGAGGGCGGGGGGAAAGTGAGACAGAGATATGGTGGTACACAGAGAGTGGGGGGGGTGTAGATAATGTAAGTTAGCTGCAAGTATTGCAGCAAGCAGCACTAACAGCCGCAGCAACAGCAACAACAGTAACCAGTTTTGCAACAACATGCGGCAACTGCAACTGCAACAGCAACAGCATCAACTGCAAGTCGAACAATCGTCAAATACACAAAATCCACTTTGCAAATCAACAGCAACAGCAACAACAGCAGCAACAGCAACAGCAGCAACAACAGCAGCAACAACAACAACAACAAACAGGAACCAGGCCCTGGATTTGGTCCATGGCCTTTGACAGAGGCCCCAAGTTGTGTCTCTCTGGGCTTGGGCTGTCGTTGCTGCTGCTGTATGTTCCTCTATATACAGACAGACATACATATGCACACACACACACACACATACCATACAATATGTGTATGCAGTGTGCAACATGCAACTGGCCTTCCACTGTACCGTGTCGCACATTCCAGTGCAAAATGCAGCAAGAAGAAAACGGACAGCCCCGATGTGCAAGGTGCCGTTTCCATGTTCAGTTGCCAAAACAGAAAGCACAAAAAAATACATATACATACATAAAAACGAAAATGAAAATGAAGAAAATAAAGAGAGAGAGAGAGAGAGAGAGAGAGAAAAAAAAAAAAAAAAAGCGAATGCACACAAAAAAAAATAAAATAAAAATGAAAATAAAACTGCAAGTGCACACGCATACATGTGAGCATGCACAAGTGTATGTGTGTGGGTGTGGGTGTGGGTGTGGGTGTGCGTTGGACACCCCTGGGAAGCAACCCCCAAACGAGCCGCAGCAGCAACAGCGACAACGCAACGACAGCGACAGCGACAGCGAACGCAACCATCTCCATAAAGGCCCAACCAAATAATATGCATTGGAATATCTGGGTAGCGCGACTGAGCCTGAGTGGACTAATCGTGGCAGCCGGGGCTGCTGCTGCTGCTGCTGCTGCTGGATGTTAGACTGGAAATGTGTTCACTTTTCGCAACGAAAGCTACAAAAAAACAAAAAAAGAGAAAAAAATAAAATTTGTCGAGCCACACGCACACACACACACTCGTACACATAGTCCACATGAAGAAAGAAAGAAAACAAACGCAAAGCAAAATGTACCATAAAAATCGAACAAAGCTTTAATATAAAAGTAAAGTTCAATTTCGTACGTCAAACACGCAACCCAACGACTTGCAACAAGTTTGAAGTTGGCAAGCGGCGTCTGCTGCTAAAAATAAAACCAACACACTCGCTTGCACACACACACACACACACACACACACATCAAGAAGCCCATACATATATAAATATATGCACACATACATACATACAGTTACACACAGCCAGAGAGCTACTACGACTACGACGACGACGACGCCGACCAACGACGGCTGCAAAAAATGTGATACGACAGTGATTACGCGATTTTTCCATAATAAATGTTGTGGTAAAGGCGACCTTCCGGTTATGGCTGACGATGACGACGACGACGGCGACGACGACGAATCGCAAATACGAGTCAACGAGCAACAACGAACACTTGTTCGGCTCAGCAACGATGACGGCGACCTTCCTATGGTCGGTCACTTGCTCTTTTTTTTCTCTCTCTCTCTGTCTCTCTCTCTTTGGTAGCCTCTCACAACTTAGCGGAAAATGTCGGTAAACAGTGCAACCGGTTTTCAATTACGCACATATAGCAGTGGGGGCCATGCACAGTGATACAAACATTCACTAATTATCGAATGCAATATTTTCGTTGGTTTTAGCGGCAATTTAATTGAATTAAATTTCATTTGATTTAAATCTATTTGTTCCTCAGCTTCTTTGTACTAAATTAAATATCAATATTAACTATATATTACGCTCGTAAAGCCCCTGAAGTTCTATGTTAATTTGAATATTTGAATATATAATAAACATCACCATTCTATTTTCTAGAGCCCTGTTCAATATCGAATTACATCTATAAATTATGTCATATATTATACCCTTTTAAACCAGTAATATTTCTGAAGATGTAGATTAATTTTCATATTTAGTCAATATATAATTTACATAACTATTACGTTTGTGTCACCATTGCTTGTTTAATAGCTAATCTAATCAATGGTCAGTCACATATATTTCAGATATCAGGCATTAAATACCAAAAATTATTTTAGTTTGTATCATTTTAATTTTGGAATTTAGGTAAAATATAGAATTTCCCATTCAAAATTTAATCTAATAAAAACAATATTAAGCAATCACAATTTCGATTTGAAGAAATTCAAGCAAATAATGTTTAATCTGGTCCCACTGTCGTGTACTACTACTACTGCGAGAGCGTGAAAAAGCTTTACTCGCTGACTCAAAAGTGCGCTCCCACATTGTGCTGCAGCGTCGTCGCTCGTTTCGTTTTACTAGGCTAATCATCTGTTCTGGTTTCGGATTTGTGCTGTCTCCCGTTGCGCGCTGTATGCCTGTGTGTGTGTGCGTGTGGCTGTGTGCATGGGAGTTGTTGGTGTTGCTGTTTGAGCATTCGCATTCATTCAACGACAGCGCCGCCGATGACGACGCCACCGCCACCGACACTGATTTGAGAGCTTTGCAATTTTGTCGGCCGCTCTTGTCGTTGTTTTTCTTCGGGTTTCGGTATTTTTTTTTTTTCATGCTTGGTGTGTGAGTTTGTCTGTGTTTATGTGTTTCTGTGCTGGTGTGTGTAAGAAATATTTCACACGCTGCTTTGGCTGGGCAAGCAAAGCACTTGACTGTTGAGTGGCGGTTGCTGTTGTTGCTGCCCGCTCGCTGCCTGCTCTCGGCGGGCTGTTGTTGGAATATTGTTGACTGCCTGCTGTTGGGGTTCGTTGCCGTTGGTTGTGTTATCATTTCAGTTGCTGGCTGGCTGGCTGCATGGCTTGTCGCTTGCACGCGCAGCTCCGGGACTCCACCGATTATTGGGTGTGTGTGTATGTCTGGCCCGAGTCTGGGGCGGCGACAGCGGCAACGACAACGTCGGCGATTGTAATCGGTTTCAGTTCATTTTCATTTAAATGGAATTAAATATGGTAAATGATGAAATCAAGCTGAACAGCAGGCGTTTCCCCACTTCATCCCAACACCGTTCACCTAATGTTCGTATGTATATACACACATACATACATACATGCATTTTTATATGTATGTACGTAAAGCTGCCGTGGTGAGTTGTTGATGGTGAAGGTAAGTGAAAAAGCGAGTCAACGAGACGACAACGGCACAACTACAACAATGCTAATACTCTGGCGAGAGACCATGACGGGCAGCGCGTGTAAAGAAAGCAAGAATCGTAATCTATAAAATAAATATAATTTGAAATGTACACACGGCGCAAAACCAAAACTCAGCCACAAAAAAAAAAGAGGAAAATAAAATAAAAAAATATATTTAAATGGCTGTCTGTCAGTACAACGGCAGTAATAAAATCTCATCGAAATCGAGATTCGATATTCGAGGGAAAGAACAGGCGCACAGCAACTGTCAGACCGACAACGGCGACGCTTCATAGCGAAGAGAGCGCGAGTAAAAATCGATAAACTTGCAGCTGATAAGCAGCAAGAAGAAGCCAACTTGAAACGGCACCAGAGACAAAGGCAAAAGAAAAAAAAAAACAGCGCCAACCAACCACTAGCCGACAACGACGGAGCCCGAACCCACGCAGCCACAACAGCATTCAGCACCACAGAGCGCAACCACTGCCACCACCAGTAGTAGTAGTAGTAGCAGAAACAGCAGTGGCAGTAGCAGCAGCAGAGCAGCAGCAACCGATGAAAATCTGGCGGCTGGCGTACCTGACGCGCGCGTGTAACCGCCAATTTAACAGGCAACCAGGCAGCACAGCAAGCGCCGCTGCTATGGCAAACAGTTGCCAGCGAGCAACAGAGCAGACAAACTGCCGGCCGCAGCCGACAGAGTGAGAGAGAGAGAGAGACCGAGAGAACTTGCATGAGAGTGTTGCTTGCGCACAGGGTTGCCGAAGTGCACAATGCGAGCGCAAACAAATTTTAAGACAAAAATGGTCGTTCAATATCAATTTTTAATGTCTTGAACAAAATTAAAAGGGATAGGCAAAAGAATTTTAATATTCCAAGATTGACATAATGTAAATATGTTTCAATATCATAGCTTCAAAAAAAAAAAAAATTTTATCTCAGCTTTAGCTAAAAGTAAGTGCAGCAACTTGACAACTCTAAATTACTCAGTCACAATTTTATGCGCTCGCTCACACACACAAATACGCAGCTGACACATTCAAGAGCATTGCATGCTTGAGGATGGAGAGAGAGAGACTGTTATATTTCGGTCAGCTTAGCATTACCTTCTCCTTATACGATATCGTTTTGTTGTTGTTGCTATTTGTTTTTGTTTTCTTTTTTTTTTACAGCTCATCGTTAACAGCTGCTCTTAACATTTATTTTTGCACAGTTGAAAATTGAAATGCTTAACAAGTAAGTCGAAAGTGCTCTTTAATGGAGACCAATTCGACGCTTATAATAATAAAGCAGTGCGCAACACAATATTTGCCTACACACGGTTTATGAGCACAATTTTGTTGTGCGGCGCGTATGCCAACTGCTGGGTGCTGAGAAAAGGCGAGCAGGCAAACTCTACCGCAATAAACGAAATGCGAATAACCACCACAGCTAGTCTGAGCTACCCCGCTGAGCGGAACAACCGAGCAGAATCAGCAATAGACTAAGGTGGAATACAAATGGCGAATTCACATACACATACATGTGTACGAATGCTGAGTATAAGTATGTACATATGTGTATGTGGGCAAATTGCGACACATTTTAAAGCACAACAAAAATTTGTCATAGCCATAGTACATACAAACACATGTATGTCTGTGGGAATAATTAAACCTTTGATATTTACAATGAATTCGAATCATTTTCAATTAAATATGCATTTGTTTAGTTAACTTGTATTGCTTTTGACAGTAATCCAGATTATGCTCTAAATTACGCTTTAACTGTAATTATATTTAAAGCTTCACGCATATAAAAAACAGCAAAGTAAATATACATACATACATACATATGTATGTACATGTGTACAAAGTTTAGTTTTTCTGTGTCAAATGCTAATTTCGTATGCAGAAAAAAAAATATATAGACATACATATATATGTATATATATATAACATTTCTATCTAAAATAGACTAAAGCACTATATTTAAGCTTAGCTGAATTTAAATACCATGGGAAAATACGTTATGCATACACATGTAGGCATGTATGTACACAGACTCTGTAAGTATGTGTATATGGTAATGAATTTACATACATTATTATATAAACATATGTAAATTTAACATAAAGTCTTGCGGTTTACACACTTGGCCAATCTTTTGCTGTACACACATCAAAACTAAGCTTCACATTACAAATTAGCGCCCCCAAGCGGCCTGTAAAACAATAAACAACCGCAGACCCGCAGCAGCGCCAACGACAGCGGCACCAGCAGCAGCAGCCGCAATAGCAACAGTATCATTCGCTCTCTTTCTGCTTGCCAGCTCTCTTCTAGTCGCTCTCTGTTAATCTTTCGAGTGTGTTGGTCTGTTGTAGTTGTTCGCTCGTGTCGCACTCTTTAAAGACATTTTTTTATGTTACATTAAATGATAATGTTGCTGCCGCTGCTGCTGCTGCTGCTGATGGAAGCTTTGTGTTTGTTTTTGTTATGTGGCTATTCTGTGTTTGGGCTCTGTGTCGGTCGACCGCGATGCCGGCAACGCGGCCAGCGTCGCTGCAGTGACGCTGCAGTCTACAGAATGTAACAGGCGCACAGCAGCAGGCAGCAATGACGGCAGGGTCCAACAATGGCGAGAAGCCAAGTGCCGCCAGCGACGAGAGAGAGAGAGAATTGTGAAGAGAGCGCGCGATAACGAGAAAGAGAGACATATAAATCGTTTGGCGGCTCTCGCGCATGTGTCAGTCTCACTGGCGCTGCTGTTGCTGTTGTTGCTGCCGTTGTCGCTGCTGTTGCTGTTAGTTTTCCTGACTCTGCCTCTGCTTCTCTTTGTTGTTTTTTTTTTCTAACATTTTTTTTTTTGTGCCCACCATAAAAACTTGGTGTGTAATTTCTTATTGCGTGTGGTCACATTTAGCCTTTCGGGTGGAAAACTTATAAAATTGAATATTGGATTAGCTCACCGATTTTCCGGCGCAGACAATGCGATTTAAATCGCTGGCGTATCTTTTGCTGCGCATTCCCGCTGCGAAACAACAACAACTATGAACGGCAATAGATAATAACTTTACACTGCTGCTGCTGCTTGCACGCTGACTGCGGCTACTCGCTGGCTGCTGGCTGCTGCCTGCTGCCCGTTGTATGCGCAGAGCACAGTGGGTCTATAGGGGTGTTGGAGGCTGCTGCTTCTGCTGCTGCTGCTTGGCTTATTATTAAAGCAGCTGCTGCAAATGCGACGAACGGCAGATGAAAACCATCACTTCCGGAGGCGCTTCAAGTACTGAGGAATGTTGTATATACATGAGCTGTGTATGTGTGTGCGGCGCGCAGCCAGCAACAGCAAAAGCAGTGGCAGTGGCAGTGGCAGCGACAGCAGCAACAGCAAAGCTGTCGACGTCAACGCTAGCAGCAACAGCAGCACTAGCACCAGCAGCAGCAGCAATAGAAAAAAAGAAAGGAAAAAAAAAAAAGCAAAAATCAACAAACTCAACACAGCGAATGAGCCACGCAAAATAAAAGGAAAAGCAGCTTGGCAAAGCACACCCAAAGTAGTAGTGGGCAGCAACACAGAGAGAGCGAGAAGGAGATAGATAAGAGAGAGGAGAGTGAGTGAGAGAGAGCGAGAATAAGCGAGCGAACGAGCGCGGGGAATATGGAAAGATAGGTACGCTACGGTACAAATGGAAGGGAAGAGGAGCAGAGGGCAAGATACGGTACATATTGGTCTAACGAGAGTGTATGTATGTGTGTGTGTGGTTCGTTGTGCATGATGAAATGCTTGAGGCGCAGCTCAGCGCACAGAGCTCTCGTTTGACATAAGGACTTGCCTTGTATGTATGTATGTGTGTGTGTGTGTGTGTGTGTGTGTGTGTGTGCAGGACAGCATAGAAATATTTATATATACATATATATATATACATATTCATGCATATGTAAACATGCTAGCTACATATACATACATATATGAATATATACATACATATGTGTGTGTGTAGGCAAGCTTATGGCAAATGTTAGTTTTAGCCTGGGTCTGGTTAAGCTGTGTTATCAGCATTAGGATCGTAATTACAATCCAGTTCCAGAATCAGACGAAGCAGCCATTAACCAAATGCACACACACAGACACATGCATGCATACATATGCATGTATACAGAAAGTGCATTTGTCATTTGATGCACCGAATGAACTGGTTCTAAAAGTTGGCCTGCATTAACCATCTCGCTCCCTCTCATACGCATTACACGTAATTAATTCGCAAGTCAATTGAACTGTACAAGATTGTCAAGAAATGCGCTAGTGCTAGGCGAACAGATACCCTGTATTTTCATATTGATGCGGTTACTTATGAGATAAACAAGCAGTACGCGCGTGCTCGACGATCAGATACCCTGTATGCCACATACTTTTTCTCTTTCATTTTAAAATCAGATTATCAAGTTCTAGACTACTCTTATATCTCTTCTCCATTTCTGAGATTATCAAGAAGAAGTTGAGTAGTAGATTACTAGATACTACTAGATTAGTAGATCATTTTTGTTTTAAAATTTGGTATTTATTAAGAAATGTTGCATGAAATATATACTCTTTTCAGAGAGATTATCATGTTCTAGACCAGCACATACCCTGTGTGTCAAGACATTTTTCTATGAGATTATCATAAAGTGCTCTATTGCTAGACATGCAGATACCCTAATTTTAAGAAATTATTAGCAAATATTCTAGTGCTCGACTAGCAATTACTCTGTATAGCTCACAATTCAACTCTTTGCTAAGATTAATTTCTTTACAGCTAGATGAGGATGATGATGACTCCAACAATGCCCTGTACTTTATTATTAGATTGACGACTACTATACTATATAATATTGTATTACTAATGATGACTAACAAAATTCCCTGTATTTTACTGTATAGTATAGCACAATATTATTTATAGATCTTTAACTTTTTTTTTTTCATCCACTGAAGTTCAAATTATTGTTTTTCCCATGTCATATGAATGAAGGGAACGTTTAGAAAAAAATATATAAAAATAAAATTTCTAAAAATAATTTTTATTTTTTTTATTTTACATATTTTATATCTATATCTATATCTATCAAATATCTAAAAATAACATTTTTTTTTATTTTTCATAGATATTTTATTTTTATAGAATTTTGTTTTCATAGATAAACGTCTTCTCTATTCTGTTATGTAAAATAAATATTATAAAATATGGGAAAATAATAATAGGTAGGTAGGCTATTAATATTTTTGCACATTTAAATCTTTTATTATGAATATTATTATCTAATTCTCTAGGAGATTTCTTTCCTATGCTAAGTTCTTTTGGAATGCTGGATAGCTAATGGGTAAATATTTATCAATTGTTAATTCACTTAAATAGTATTATCTTCGAGAATCGATCTTCAGCTCTACCGAGATTGCTTAAAACTTAGTCAAAAAACTTTCTTGGAATTTAGTATCTGGAGAGCTCTAGAGAGTTTATATGGAACGTGTTTATAATGTAATATCTAATAAGATTTTGCCACTTGTTGCTGCTATATTTAACGTATACACTAAAACACACATACACATACACACACAAACACACACACACACACACATTCAGACAACGAGAAAATTGTAGAAATTTGTTGGTAATTAATATTTACCAGTAGATTTCTTAGTATCATACTCCCGGTGGAGCTGAGGCAAACGAGGAGCGAGCGATAAATCGAACGAATCGACGGAACGACAACGGACGAACTGTGACGGCCCGATTGATAATGCTGTTGATAAGGATAACGCTGCCAAAGGTAGCACACGCGCGCTTTTCTCTCCCCGTGAGAGCGAGCACGAGCACGAGAGAGTAAGAGACGGAGCGAATGCGAGTGCGAGTCAAAGTCTCAAATGCATTGAAAATCACACAGGAAACAAACAACGGTATTCCCAAAAAAAAAAACAAAAAACAAAAAAAAAAACTGGTTACATGGCAACAGGGCCAAGAACGCACTGGCCCTGGTCTAGGCTCCAGCTAGGGTCTAGGTCGTCCCTGGGTTGCCGAAGGGCTAGCGGAGTGCAAGGTAAGGTGAAGGTAAGCTAAGGTTAAGGTAAGGTAAGCTAAGGTACGGCACGATTAGCTAAGCTCTGACAACGATATGGTTTACGGCGATCCGGTACGGGTATAACTTTATTAATATTCCCGGAGTGTGAACTTGCGCGTGGAACGAGGCACGACGAGCCTTCAAGTGGCAATGGCAACGGCCATGCAGCCGATACAATAGGGTAAACATCACACACACAGATACATAGAAAGAGAGTGCAGAGGCGATGTGACGATGCCTGGAAATACACACACACACACATATATTTATATATATATATATATATATATATATATATATAGTGAGAGAGATGCGTCTGGAAGGGGCAAAAGCCGGGCTAAATGGCGGCTGACTGCTGTATATAGAGCAGGAGCAGAAGCTGGAGCAGAAGCAGGCGCAGGAGCAGGAGGGGAGGGGCGAGGCTTGGGGGCGACAGCGGTTCGCTATTTGGTCGGACGTTTGGTCGTTTGGTCGGTCGCCAGTGCGTGGGCCAGGCTGAGTTATTGGTCTAAATAGCAACACTGAGCGAGCATCGTGCAACGCGACGAGACGAGACGAGACGAGACGAGACGCAACGGAACGCAACGAGAGTGTTTGGCCATAGCCGAATGCGTGTGGCAAGCTTGTGCGGCATCGGCTGGGGCTGTTGTGAGGAGCTCGGCTCGTTGAATTTTTGGTGATGTACCTTTAATAAAACACACACACACAGAGAGAGACACACACACAGACACACATACTCAGACGGGCCTGACAGACGACAGGAATATTGGAAGTTTCAGCTTCGTGCAGCATGCAGCCGAACCGGAGCCGCAGCCGGAGCCGGAGTCGGAGCCCGTGCCACCAGCTGCAGCCGGGGCTGCCATCGAGCAGAGTCCCAGAGTCAGCACGGGACACGCCTGGATCAAAGCGAGCAGCAACAAAAATAGTGAAAACAAAAAAATTGAGTTACCCAGGAAGTAGGCTGCTTGCAACACCAGCAGCAGCAGATGATGATGATGATGCTTTCGTGATGATAATGATGTTATTGGCTTACACGTTGCAAGGCTGCACAAGTTTGGCAATTGTTGGTAGAGCAATGGGAAGAGGTGCGGAAAGAGGGAGGAGAGAGGGAGGAGAGAGAGAGAGAGAGAGTCAGAGAAAGAGAGAGACACAGAGACAG